CAGGTTAGTTCCAGTATTTAGCGGTCCCAGGTCAACCTCCATCTGAGACACTTACCTTCTCATGTCGTGTCCCTCAGCGTTTCTCTCTTTCTCCTACTATGTCTGTTATTTACATTGATAACCTTCCCCTCCTGATCCGTCACTCCCAATACCATATCTATGCAGACGATTTCCAAATATTAAAATAATTTTAAGGTCCTATCTGAGAGGAATGATTTGAACCAACACAGAACACTGTTTATCTGTCCTTCCCGCCTTCTGACCTATTATCAACTAAAAAAAAACTTCAAGAAGACTTAAATAGAATCCGTTGCTGCTCCTGCGCAGTGGTCCATTCCTAACAAGTTGAAGTTAAATGCAGAGAAGACGAAGGCAATTTCAATATAAGGAGCTTCAGTTACCTCCTTAAAACTGTTCCTAATATTCCAACCCTGTTCCTACATGATATTCACATCAAATTTTATCCTACAATCAAAAACCTTGGAATAACCTTTAATCAAACCCTTTCGTGGAAAAACCATGTATCTATCTTCCGTTGTACCTTTTCTACCTTAAAACGTCTAAATTATCTCCGTCACTACTGCTGTACAGTATATGAGGGGGTCGTCTCGAATACCCTCCCCTCCTTTAAATCCCGCTTGTTCAATCACTTTCTATTCATTCACTCCCCATAAAATTTTAAAGATGTTTCTTTAAATATATATACATATATATATATATATATATATATATATATATATATATATATATATAAATTATTATTTCGATTTTAATTATTTTTATTTTACTTTTTTCATGTATTTTTCTTAATGGATTAAAGTTAGAATGTCTTTTTTTTTTTTTTATGATGTCTATTAATAGACTTTTTTTTACATTACAGAGTGCAAAGCTTCATCATTCACTTTATAAAACACCTTGGTTTTACTGTGGGAAACGTTTCAATAGATTAATGCAAATAATGATGAATAGAGCTTCAAAACCGGTCATTCCGAAGGATCCACTTTTCAAAATTAACGCTTCCTTAGAAGTTTACATGTCAGTAAGTATAATTTTTTAAAAAGCTATTTATATACATTTAATTAATTATTAATTATTTTCATGATGAAAAATAACAGGAACAGTAATTCCATTACTTCTTTAAATAATTAATTTTACGATGACTAATAAGTTGCATACATTTGACAGTTATTAAAGTCCATTAACACTCCTACATTTTTTTTTTCCATTACCACACTCTTCAACGGTTCGTCTTTCAGTAACTGACCAATCTACAATGATATGTAGCTGTTTTTTCTAAAGAATATTTATTATAAATTGGAAGAGTAAAACAGGAAAAATTTGCTTTTTCTATTAATTTTTCCATAGAATATTTAATTTTGTCTTTTTCTTTTCTTTTTTTTTTTTTCAGATACTGAGCACAGGTTATTCATATTTCAATTTATTAAGAAGCATGAATTAAACAGGAAACATTTGATGAAAACGGACTTAAAAATCAAAGGAATGTTTTTGTCTCCCCAGAGTAGAAGAAATAAATAAAGGCTTTTTTTATGCTAAATTCATAATATTGCATTCGACGCCTAATTTATAATAAAAAATTGATTTTATTGCATTTTTAAAGTTATTTTCTGTTTCCTTGGGTATGGAAAAAATATTTAGGATGGGTAAAAATATTGGGTTGTCCAGAAATAAATGCAAGTTTGTGTTTTTTAAATAAAATAAATTATAGGAAACTATTTTTATTATTTAAAATACGCTCCATTACTTTGGATACATTTCAGCCATCGCACAGTTGGACGAAAGACGGGCTTTCGTGAGTTAACGAATCGGAGACAGTGGAGACTTTATAAATAATGGATTTATTCATAATGTTACAAATGGCATCTAAAATACAGAGTAATATAATATGGATATATGAGTTGACTACATGAGTTCACTTCAGGTCTCCTGCAGTAAGAGACATCAAGAGAATAATCTACATGGTCTGAGGATCATAGGGGTTATATGCTCAGGAATAGTAGGGGGGATGAATCAATTCTGGGCGGTCTAGGAAACGTGTGAATGAAGTCATATCTATTAAGAATTGATATCCTTATTTTTTATAATTGATATGAAGTCTGTGAGAAAATGCTATTTTGCTGAAAACGGTTATTGTTCCCTAAGTCTTGATAAGTGTCTTCTGTCCAGTCAATACATTCTAGATAACTATTTCTAAGCTATCAGAGATAGCTTGACCTGGCTATCTAGGGCTTTGTGCTTATAGGCTTTGATAAAGGTCATGAGAAAGGTCAATGAATGATTAAATGATTAAATAAAATAAAAGTTAATATTAATAGTTGTTACGGATTAAGTCCATTCCGTAACTGTGATGGCATGGCCATGGCCATAGAACTCGTAAATGATGTCGGATTAACTTGATATTTAGAACACTTATGTTTTATAGGCCAAGGAACACGAGTATGATGCCAAAATTAGAAAATTTCCAGGAAAAACAAAAAGAAAATCCCGGTTACTTGGTTTAAACGTAAGAATTTTTAAATTTGACAATAAAGTAACTTCGAAAATGATAGAGGCCTCATAAAACGCACAATTTTATATACCTATTTATAATTACAGTCCGTATTACAACATATGACCGTTATTTTAATATTTTTTTTTTTTTAATTTTACAAACACTAAATCACAAAATATAATTATAATGTATGTATATGTAATAACTTAAGAAATGTGTCGTTTATTAATTATCCATTTTATAAAAGTTCTTATGGAATAATAAACATTTTATTTTATTTTTATCACAAAATTATTTAAAAACCATCGACAAAGATATTTAGAACACCATCGGTACTTCCTCACATTTTTCAATGAAAAGAATATGTAATTTTTCATTAATTTTAAAGATTATATTAACAACAACTGATGCAGATGAAGTGATAAAGGTTCAACCAAATACTCTCAGATTCAATTTACCGTTATGATTTTTAGTTTTTGTTTTTTTTTTAGTTATGATTATATCGACATAAAAAAATAATAAGGGTTAGAGATTGAAAACAAGTATTATTTATTACTAACAGACAGTAATCTTAGTGCAACAAGTAAATAAAAGTTTTTTTTTTTTCCTTGAGGCTGTATTATACGGGTACCCATTACCTTTTATTTAATTTTAAACTTGATTTCATTTAATGGTGTTGTGTTTGTTTATTTATTTAGATTAGAACGAAAAAAAAAAATGGTTATATACAGTCAAAAGAATAATATAAAAGTTCAATTCTTATCTAGGTAGACAAAATTAAAATTTTAAAACAATGAATACCAAGATTTAATGTTTAATATAAATCTTTTTTATTGTTTTGGTTTAAGGTGTTTTTCGAAAGAAATAACTACAGAACCTTGTTTTCTTTATGTTCAATGTAATTCTTGAAACTAAATTTAAGAACATGTCTAGTTATAGAAGATATTAGTACATTCCTAGAAATTGTTATGTCGAGGTATGTCTATTCAAAGGCAGTATGTGCAAGTTATCAGAAGGCCTCGACAGTGCGTGTTCAATATTTACGGTGAGCTGACTGAATGGACGGAGGAAGAAGAATAGATGGATGTCCTCAAGTGATCAGCAGCCAATCATTCTCAGACGGCGGTGTAAAGGATCAGCCTTAACACTCCGCAAGGATGGTGACCACAACCGGAGGGGTCAAACTCCGGACTTGTGGGAGGATGAGATACTGACGGAGGGATCAATCTCCAGACTCAGTATATAAGACTGTAAGCAGACGGATCAGCGTCCAACTTGCAAGGATTAGGAGAAAAAGATAAAAAGGTTGTTGATAATTAAGAAGAGCATACTGAGGTGTACCAAAAGCTTTTAAGATACACATAATGACAGTCTGCATATATATCTACACTCTGAAGGGATGGAGCTCCGTAGAATTAACAAATTGAGGTTTGACTGGGGTATTCATTCCGCCAAGACTAAACCGGCTACCAAGAGCCGTTACTATAATAGTTATTTTGAGCTTTGGTCAGTATATGTTATCGTCATTAAACTTTATTAATAAAAAGCATTTACAATGAATATGCATATTTCAATTTACAATTTAAGTATTTTATGATACAACAATAAGAAATAAAAGATACAATTTTGGTAAGTTGCATGGGTGAGCTTGTAGAGCGCTGCCTGGTAGCGGGAAGGCTAACTCGTTGTTCCTTGTGCCAAGAGCGGAAATCTGTTTCCGCTACAGTTCGAACATTTATACATACAAAAATACTACCGTCGGACTGACCATGGCGGTTTAAATTAATATGAATTTATCTTTAACAATGACTACTAAAAAGTAGTTAGAAATCAATTTTCTGGAGGATTTTAAAATAGCAGTACTTGTAAATTTTTTATTTAAAACACCTATTTTTGTTAACAAAAAAAGAAGAAAGATTCGCAGTAAAACAAGTTTTAGAAATGATTAACTTTTTTTTTTAATTAAGCAGAATGACAGTAAAAAGTGTATAAAGTTTCAAGAAAAAATTAACAACCATCAGCTCGAACCAAGCAATTTTACAATACCTACAAATCACTCGAAATTCCTCAAATAAACTAGGTTTTCAATTGAAATATTTACTAAAAACAGTATAAAATGTTCATTCTCACAAACTGCCTTAAGTATCAATTAAAAAGTTTATCTAGTTTTAAAAATTTAAAAAACCTTTTTTTTTTGTCGATGTCGCATGTTTTCCATTACTCTGCCCACTGTGCATCGTCTTGGTAACTTTTCTATTCCTTATAGATAGAATGTCGTTATTATTAACAAATTTTGAAAACGCTTTTTTTTTTTTACGAGTTTGGTCGATACAATTTTTACCTTTTAAAAATTGGCCCCAGAGCTTAAAAAAATGGCAATCGGTAGGCGAGAGGACCAATAAGTAGGGCGGGTGAGGCCAGGAAATGGTCGTTTCTGATTCGGCAAAGAACTGCATCGCGAACTTCATAACGAAAATTTATTGGCGGCCCTTTAATGCATGAGTAATCCAAGTTTCAAGGTTTTTTTTACCTTACCACTTACGTTGAGGTGGTCAGTGATGGCCAATTTGCTAATTGTGAGTTTCTCTGCCAGTTCTCGAACAGTTTTTCTGCGATTTTCTTCGACCAAAGATAGTAGAACACCGTCATCAAGGAAAGAGGTTCTTCCACAACCATTGTTGTCTACAAGGCTGAAGTCTGAAGGCTGAAGAAATTTGTTACACTCAATAGCGCACTTACACTGCTATCGCCGCTGACTTGTTTCTTTGAATGTTTCTGATTTTTTGGACCCTGGTCCTACCAAGTTTAAACTCGTTAAAAAAAAATCATGCGAAAATTTGACATCCTAAAATAAAGTTATATAGTAAATACTAAAATATTTTCAACCAGTGAAATGCTACAGAATAGTGTTGCCCAAATGCGAGACCGAGACGAGTCTTGGTCTTGCAAACTCAGTCTTGGTCATGGTCTTGGTCTTGCGCAAGACTTTCGCTACAGTCTTGCAGTTACTTATTAGCTTATTACTATAGAGATATTGATGTAATTTTTTAGATAGGAGAAACCTAACTAAGCGCGAATGAAAAATTAGAGGAGTTGAATGCAAAAGTATATTAGTTATACCAATTATTAACATATAGTGACTAAGATTGTCAAGTATTAGTAACTATTTTGAATTAATTTTTATTAAAAATTCTACTTTTTTTTGCCAGTCCTGGTCTTGGTCTTGCAACAGTTAAGCGGCATTGGTCTTGGTCTCGCAAAGTACAAGACCAAGACCGATTTTGAGCAACACTACTACAGAAGATAAAAAAAAATATTAAAATGAAGTGTTGATACTCATAAAAAAGAATAATCCTTCGAACGTAAACGTTTTGTTATATGGAGGCTTAATGAATAGAAAATATATGCTACTATATTATTTTTCGGACAACCCAATACCTATTCAGCCAAGGTATCTCTACTTCCACAGAAGAATGATTGACTGGACCTTCAGTACTAAGAAAATCTATTTCCAACTTACACGATTCTATTATGTAGTATATATACTACTATACTAATGATTATTAAGACATAATAAGATACATACTGAATGTATCCCATATCGAATATATAAATTAATCTATCAATTTCAATACCTCGAATCTGATTATTGAACTGGTGTCACCCTGAATTTCGGCGATGTGAGCCATCAGGTCATCGAAGAGTTGAGGCCACTGAGCCACAATTCCTCCACTGCTCTGTACACACACCTTTCTCACCCTCGCATGTCGATCATAAAATCTGTATAAATCAACCGTTAAGTCATTGAAGTCAGTTAATGGCGCATTTGTTGTTATTAAATCATTAATTAATTCACCTCTGCAAGTAAAGTTTCCATATTTCTGGTTCTCTTACGGCCAAGTTGATTGGGCCCATACTGAACAGTTTTCCAAACATCGATACTGCCTTATAACGTACTCCTTTATCGTTTATTTGCAGTTCATACTGTTAATAAATCATTAATACAAACACAGAAATATATATACATGTTCTTAAATATTTTAAAATATTGAAATTCAGCCAGTCTTTTAAAATTGATATTAAACAAATGCATGGGCTAATTATTAAATTTAGGACTTTACCTTAAAGAATGGCAAATATCCATTCATCAAATCAGGCGATTTCTCAAATATATCAAGCAATAACTTATATTTGTCGCGAATGCCCAAATAGTCATCAAGTACAAAGCTATCGTAAGTCCACTAAAATAAAAAACAAATATTTTCTTAACTGAAACAAGGATTATAATTATTAACAGATACCTTCATAATCTAATTAGATTTACCCCAAAACTGTAATTCTTGCATGTAAAGTAATATATATTATATATTGAGCGTTATTCAATTGATCTGAATAAAAGTGCAGATAATGAAAATATATAAAAACCTACATAAATATAAAATAAACGGAGAAAGTAAAATAAATAAAAAATATATCAATAAATTACAATATAATCGAAGTACCTATCTAAAGAAAAGAGAAATATAGGGAAAATTCATCCTCTTAGGTGAATTTCCTAATGTAATAGAAAAAAATTATTATCATGACCATTTTTATTAATTTTATGGTTTTTCATATTACGCCACCTCACTAGCGGATCTAGAATTTAATTTTGGGAGGGCTTCAGCACGAAAGATTTTTTTTCATATACATATAACCATAATTAATTAGAAAAAAAAGAAAGAAATTAACTACCTATATGAAATGGTGTTTAAGTGGTTCTTGAAGTCCTATTAAATGTAATTACACTAACAAGCACGGGCGGATCTACGGGGGGGGGGGGGCTTTCGGGCTGAAGCCCCCTCCAAAATGGTAAAATATAGCCATATTTTATCGAAAAAAATATAATAAAAGTATCTCTTAAAGTATTATTGTTTGTGTAATTACATTTAAAGGGGCTTTAGGAATCACGTAAACACCATTTCATACAGGTAGTTAGTTTCTTTCATCTTTTCCAAAGTAATTATCGTTATTTTTATGAAAAAAACCGCTTTCGGGCCCCTCGCCCCAAAATTAAATCCTGGATCCGCTAGTGCTAACAAGAATACTTTAAGAGATAGTTTTTAATATTTTTATCTGTAAAACATGGTTATATTTTACCATTCTGGGGGGGGGGCTTCAGCCCGAAAGCCCCCCCCCTCCGTAGATCCGCCTGTGCGCCACCTTACCAGGCTGTGGCGCCCAAATTTCGTGAAAACAAGAATAGAATATAAGAGCAAAAGTTGGCTCGTAGGTTGAAGTGGTGTAATTTTTAAGCCACCTTGAATTGCGAAGGCTTGTGCTCCAGTCGTTGTTTGTTTCTGCTCACTCCGAACTGAGTCTCGCAGGTGGAATACATGGTGGAAGAAAATTAATTAATAAAATAAACTTTATTTATTCTTACGAACATGCTTTTATTCGAGCCCAAGAAAATACAGTTTTCCTCTCGGACCCAGTTTTTATTCAATTCCAAGAGATCTATATACATTGCAACCTCCAGCAACTGTTGCCTCTTTGAAGAATCCATGGTATTCATAAAAGTGGTTACGATAATAATTTGTATATTTCTCATTGAGAAGTGTTGTTCTTTTCTTAAAATAGCTGCTGTTGGAAACGTTTTCATGAAGGAAAATACTAATTACTTGGTCTCCGATTTGATCGGAATCTGATTATGATCTGAATCGGAAATTATCATGACTCATTTTCAAACTGCAGGGTCATTTACAGTAATCTGTCTCAGATTTTGACAATGATGGTAAAAATTAGTGCTCATTGACAATAGATATCGACCATATTACTTAATCAAATTATTAAATTTAGGTTTGACTCGTTCGACGAACAATTTGAAGTTACTTAATTTCTTAAAGAATACGTTTTTCACATTGATGCATATTTAGTTGTAATACATGAAAAAAGAAATGAGATAAATCTGGATTTTATGGCTGTAAAAAGTTGTCTTTTGGTGACCCGTGTTAGAAATTCAACTTTTTACATATCTTAACCCATATACAGGATGTCCCGTAAGTAGAGATAAATTTTTAAAGGAGTGATAGCAGAACTCAAGAAACACAAAAATGTTTATACAAACAAAGGTTAGATTTTCAGGAGGAAAGTAGGAAATTAAGTTTTGTGACTTTTTAAGTAAGTCACGTTTTTTGGTGAGTAGGAAGTAATAACTAAATACTATTTAATTTAAGTAATTAACGATTAATTCACTGTAAACTAGATAAAATTTATTTTAAATAAAAATAGAGTTTGCTTTTGTTATAAACATTTAAAGAGAACTTTTGAGCGGCGAAACTCAGCTAAGGAGTGGGGGGAGATGGGTAGTGGTTGAGGAACGGGTAGGGGTGGGGGAAGGTTCGCCTCTCCCCCCTGAGAAAATTTCTGGATCCGCCAACGACACATCCTCACTACCCCTAAGATCGGCTGTCGAAGATAATTTTCAGGCTACTGTCTTAGTTGAATTATTTTATATATTTTTGTCTTGTTAATTAATTACATAAGGTAAATGTACCAATAATAGACACTTTAATAGATTTTTTCAGCATTAATGTGAACTACAGCTTAATTTCTGATGGTGAATCTTTTCAGATGGGTTTCATTGGCAGCAAATTTAGTCTTTTATCGAAACATGTGCTATAGATAAGCAGTTTGTATCATTTCCCATAAAAAATTGTAAAATTCTGACACATGATTTTCTACCAGTAATAGACACTTGGAATTTTCAAAGATCCAGTAATAGACTCTTTTTTATCAGTTATATACTGGCTCTTTTTTATAGGAAAAATGTATAACAATAAACAAATTATAACGTTTAAAAAATATATATATATATATATTCTTAATAACAAGCAAATGCATTAATAGGATCATAAATTATAAAACCTGAGCAAAGCAAAGTAATAATAATCCGTACATACCCGTACATATATTATTACAGTAAGGCTCGAAATCGGTTTTGTACCAAATATAAGCTCCTGTAATGCTCAAATACCGTGAATGAGGTACCGTTGGATTCAGAATTTCACGGGGGCTTAGCGAATCGTATTCTCCGCTTTTGTTTTTCTTTCTAAAATAAATAAAGTCGATACAAACATTTTGCTAGGCTTCAATACTGGAACGGTGGTAGGTCTGTAGATTGATGCGGGACAAATTGGACCTTGAAGATTTTGATGCGTACAGCAAGACCCGGATAGTTCCTCCTTAACTATCGGATCCTGCGTTTTTATGCCCAAAAACGTACTATTTTCGAGATAACGCAAGGCATGGGGTTCCCATCCACACAACCTGACGTTAATTGTAGTACTGTCATTGGATACATGTCTAATTTCGTCTACTTGAGGTCTCTATGATCGAGACAGGAGGAGTTTATATTATTTATCGATGGTGTTTTTGATCGGCAAGCCATATCATCGTTAATTCTTCATCAAATCTCAAGATTGAGCCACCAATTTCATAGGCTTCCTTCTCCTTCAGGCGGGCAAAATAGTCCAATCACCCCGAAAATTCAGGCAAACAAGTTATGAAAAAAAAGAAACTTTATTTGCAAATAACTAAAAAATTACACACTTTTCCCTGGGTTATTCCCATGATTATATAAAACATTACTAAATTGTCTACAAAAGGAAAAAAAAAAATCATTGAAATCAGACAATTTTTCGCAAAGACACAGCTTATTGAAATTTATAAATATGTTGGTTCCAAACAAAACTGAAGATTTAAATTAAGTTTGTTCTCTTTGTTGATTATATTTATGGATAAAGTAACAATTGATTCCTTTATCTTTTGATACGTTGCATTATTTTATTTTATTATTAATTCGGCATTTGATAACAATATGCTGTGCGAATTTTTCGGCCTACTAGTTACAAATTAAAACTAATAATGCCATAATTACAATAAACAAATAATTACGAATTAAAAACCTAAAAAAGTGTATATACCTACTATAATGTATAAAAACTAATACATGTATCAAAACTATAATGTATAAAAACTGATACATACCTTGTAAAAATATGTTTCCATAACGCTCAGTGAACTGAAACTGAACATCGTTGTTGATAATAACTCAGAGTTGTTTATATTCGGAATATAAACAATTACTAATCCTTATTTTCGCAAGGCCAAATAATAGGACCTACTGTGGGGGTGATTTCACTGGTAAAAACATCCTATTTGTTTCTACTAAAAGATTCATTATTTATTTTTTTAAATATATTACTTTGATTAGGCAATTATGAAGCTTAATTTTCTTGTCTGACTTACAATGAAACTTATTTTGGTGATACTAGATCGAAAAATACTTGCCCCATGTTCGAGAGTTCTTGCTAATACGCCATAGGAGCCGAGAAAAAAAATTGTAAATAATTTCAAATCAAACTTGTCCGAATTCTAGGTTATTACATACCAATCAGTTTTTTTTTTTTTTTTTTTTTTTTTTTTTTTTTTTTTTTTTTTTTTTTTTTTTTTTTTGTGCAGAGTAAGAAAAACATATTGCTTCAAATATAAAATCAGTTATAATGTAATGTAAATTACAAAAACCAAAATACGCTTCCAAAATTGTTGTTGATAACAATGGAAGTCGAGTTCGTTTTTTAGGATTCTTAAATACGAATTTTCATAGAAATTAAAAATTATAAATTTTTGGACTTCATTTCGATCGGCCGTTTTTCTTCTGCCTTTCACTAAATCTCAAACCATCAAAAATGTATCCAAAAGATGTCTCGAAAAAGATACGGGTGTCTAAAAGATATACCGAAAGACACCTTTAAGACATGAAAAAGATGGCTTATGCGCCAATGGTTTCAGCCTTCTTTAATTTAACTCAAAAAGGATAGCAAAAAGACATCCAAATAGGCATCTAAAAGCAATCTGTGATATGTCTGAAAGGTGTTTTTTTTTTTTTTATATCCTAATAAGGTCATCTGATAGACATAATTTCGATATCTTCAAAAAGGTTTATTGTTTTACAAGGAAAAATAAATAGAAACTTCTTTGTTGAAATATAATAATAATAAAAGGCTTAGCGAACCCTAAGGTTCGATACCGACACCACCGATCTCTCATTACACACCTCCCTCCACCGTTCGCCGTCCAAACCTAGTCCCTTCAGATCGACTTTAATGCAATCTTCCCACCTTTGCTTCGGTCTAACCCTCGGACGTTTCAAAATCGGTACAGCAAATATTAATCTTTTAGGAATTCTCTCGTTACTAAGC